TTTTTTTTTTTTTTTAAAGAGGGCACAAAAGAATTGTGAAGATTTTGAACATTGTCTGTATTTTTTAGCAGAATTCCTCTGTGTTGGTGGTTTTGTCCCCCTCCATCCTCCTCCTCCGCTCAGGGTCAACGTCGTCGCTGCTTCAGGGCCAGTGTGACTTGTTGTAATTAAAGGGAAATAAATCCAACTCTCTAGTAGAAAATCCTGAGGGAGAACATCAGGTCATTTGTCTGCGAGCTGCAGTTTGAGCTGCAACTGGGTTATGCAGCGTGATATGCTGTCAGTGAACCTGGGGGGCTGCAGAGACAAATGGGCTAAAATTTCAACAGAGCAATTTGAGGAAGCTGCTGTTTGTGGTTGTTGGCTGATAACGGTTATTGGTGCTTAACTGTCTCTTTTTCTGCAGTGTTGTGATATTTGGCATGCAATGTGGAGTATTTTTTTTTAAGTTTATGCTACAAGTGTTTCAAACCAAAGACTTTAGCATTAAAGGTGTTGAGTTGTAAGCTGAACCCTTATGAAGAACAGTTGTAGCCATTTTATTGGTTAACTTCTTGTAAATGACGATGCAGGATCTCACAAAATGTGTTGGCGCTCAGAGAATGTGCTCTTAGTAAATCTTAGCCCCCACCACCAAAAAAACTTTAGCTCAATATCCATAAAATTGACTGAGTTATAGCTATTGTGTGTTGATTGTTTTAAGTGTGGTAGCTGTCTTGAGTTGGGCTGACTCCATATGTCAGTTAGTTTTAGTTGTGGAGCCATCTCACTGTCTGAGAGTTTAACTAATACCTGTCCAGTGGTTTGAGATATTTTGCTAACAATCATTGTTGACTGCTCATGTTCAAGGTCATGTCGAAGTTTAAAAGCAGAATCTTGCACGATCAGTTAGTGCTCAGAGTATGTCTTGGGGATGACACTCGGGTAACAACACTAAATTTTAGCTCATTATCTGCTAAATTGAAATTTTGAAAGCCATTTTTGAGTTTGCTAAATTTGCACAGCTGTGGTGGCCATCTTGAACGGCTTTCTCTCCAAATGTTGTTTTAGTTGATTTACATTTTGCCCTGTCGCCTTCATTTAAAGTTCTCTTTCTGTAAAGTATTGCCATCATTGTATGCACCCTCTAAATTTGACACATCACAATAGGCAATCAAACCTGCAACCTTTCCAGTGGCAACATTACTTTCCTACCACTGTTCCATAGCTGGCACTTGGTAGGTAAGACATTATGAGGTATTAATAGGTTGATACTGTACACTTGTCACCATGTCGGCGTAAATCAAGGTCAGGGTTTGGATTTTCATCTGGTCTTGTTGTGATTTAAAATTTTGACACATCAGGATGAAACTCAAGATGTTGTCCACTGATAGTTTCAACCTCTTTGTAGAATCTGAATGGGGTTCATCGCCAACATCTACTTGTTGACCTTTAATTTAGTCCTTCCTGGGGAAGGGCTGTGCAGTCACATGAAAAGTGGCATGACATTACAATTGAGTGTGTGGAGTCAAGGTAATCAATGGGACTCCTGACATTTAGAGCTTGTATCAATCAGCTGCTAATGGGCAAATCAATGAGAAGTCAGAATGACATGTTACTTTATTATTTATGCATTTCTATGATCAATTCACTCAAGGAGTTGGCAGCATGTTGTGACAGCTTGGCGAACTCTGGGGACCCCGTCCTGTTGATCGATGCTGCAAGTTACGCTGAGCATGATCAAATGCATGTGCTGGCTCCCTAACTGAGCCGTGTTTCATGACAGAGTGGTTGAATTCAGATTGACAGGAAGAATCTGCCCTGCTGCAGCTTGGAATTCTGTCAGACTTTTGATATGTTGAGTCATTTCTCCTTTATAAGTGTGAATAACGAGACACTCGCATTGTAGCATCTGCAATACAGGCTTTTATGCTGTTTGCTGAACAATCAGTGCTGCATGAAGAAGCTAAGTACAGCGCAATGATACCATTACCACAATGTCATCATGTGGAGCACGGGAAATGTAGCAGTTTTTTACTCCAGTAGCTCTGAGTTAAGAAAACAGCATTTTTCAGATTTGTTCAGTCCGGCGCAAATGGTTGAAAATTAATGCATTTTAATGAGATGCCCTCTGAACCTGCCCGGATTCATTTATGACAAGTCGCACTCAGCAGGGCTGCTGTCAGCATAACGAGACCGCTGATTCGCCTTGACTTGAAAAAAGTGAGGAAATCTGTAATTTGCCAGCCTGAGTGGGTGAATGTGTGACCAGCGACTCAGTCCGCACATTATCGGTTCCATCTCAAGAACTCAGGAACTATGTCCAAAACCATAAGCCTTCATGCTTTAAAAAAATATTATTATTCAGGACTGGTAAAGGAAAAAGCAACAGATAAACAACTTTTTTATTGTAATGTTTTTTTTTTTTTTTTTTTTAGCAATATCTATAACTCTGTATTTGATGCTTCGCTCGCAAGCTGGAAAATTAAGTCATGGGACATATCAGTCACCTTCATGTCCAAGTTAAATTAAAATAGTCTTATGATGAGAAGAGTTACAGCTGTTTTGCTGAATTCTAGTAAATGGCTTTATGTGATCCCTTGTAATATTGTGAGATTTTTTTTCTTCGTTCAGTTCAATTTAATTTAGTTTTTTATTT